TGTCAACAAAATTTGTCACTCACGACTTTAGACAAGTTCTAGCCCAAAGATATGATGACGGTTTACTCATTATTCGCAGGAATGAGTAAATGTCAAGTTTAAAGACGAAAATAGAAGTTTTCTGAAGAAAAATGGAAAGATCGAGATAAATGGAAGATTTCCGATAAGCGCGAATCGGAGCGCAAAAGAAAGGCACAACCGCCTAAAGAAGTAGTATATAAGAAGAAGGTCGAGAACAAAAGCAAGGGACGATTTTCAGAGCTCTCATCTCAGAACCCTTATAACATTTCTAGACTTAGAACTAAACTTAGCAATTATTCTCGACAAGTTCGGTTTCTATACTCATCTCATTTCCTAAAGAAATAAAGAACTAGAGACACTGACGTCGTCTTAAAACTGACTCGTTCCTAGAAATATTCGTAAAACAGACATACTTCGAGTCATCATCAATCCACAATGGTCTTTAATCGACCCATATTGTCGATCATCCCAATCCTTCAAAAAAAAGGGAAGAAGTAGGTGCGTATACTATACTCATATACTTCCATATTTCAAAACAACATTTTTTCCTCACATCGAGAAAACACTTTCTATAAAGAAAACTCTCACAAAAATAGGCGGAAAAATATTCGGACATGCGACGCCTCGTCAAAATAATCCCAAAAGCAAACGACAGTCTATGATTGGTCAAAATGCTAAGAACTGATCCAAACCATCTGGGAAATAGTCTAGAAGACTATAGATCATCTCTTATCGCAATCATGCATTTAGAAAACCTCTGCCAAACTTCAGAGTCAAACTCGATGATTTGCCTAAGTCATAAAGATCTTTTCTAACTTATAAAACAAGTTCCGTATAATAGTCAAAAAATTATATGAGAAATCTTTAGGCATCAAAGCTACTCTCATTTTCCGTTAAACCAAGTGAGTCATGGAATGAAATATTTGCGACAGAGAACAATCGAAAACACAAGTAGCAGCAATAGAGAACACGTCCTCCTTGCTCGCCGAGTGATAATACTATTGGTCAACTAATTCATCCGCTCAAGAAACCCGCTAAAACGTTTCGCGACTAGATCTCGGGGAAGTAACCTTTGGTAAAACTCCGTGAATGACTCCAAGAAACTATCACCGAAGAATCGAAAACAGAGCGGGAAGGTTTCTCAAAAAATTCGCGGAAACATCGTTGTTTTGACATCTCCATACGCCACGTAAATTTACTAAGTTTGTCGCCCGTTACTTATGCAAGAAATCCTTCATATTGTCAAAGACCTTGACATTCAAACTAACTTTCGAAAGTAAACGTAACAAGATTTACACAAAGTATTTCCTTATAGCAAAAAACCAAGATATACGATCCGACACTGGACAACCAATCTAAACTTTGTTTCCTCGCGCCACGATCTGAAAGATCATTCTTTGGCCCTGCGGTTCAAGTGCATCTGCTCTCATTCCTCTCGATTACATCCGAGAATGAAACCACCCCTCAACCGACTCCGTACGGGCTCTGCATCAAGCTTCTTAGGCCTTATCTCCCTTAGGTAAAAAAGAAACAACTTCCATACGAACAAAGGAAATATTATACAAAACTTTCAGCGTATAAATCAAACCTAAAAAGGAAAAACGTTTTTTACGACCACGGGCATACTTGGCATATTAATCTCGACAAACGCTACTTGGCCCTTGTCCAATCCCGCTTTACTTCGATGACGAGCTAGGTTACAGCATCCCCTTTAAGAGCGATCCAAATCAACTCGACCTTATTGATAGCACGAAAGTGTCATGGTCTATTCCTTTACCAACTATGTCCTTGGCTACGCGGCTGAATACAACCCTCACGCCAGGCCAAAACAATCAACTAACAATGTAAACTTGTCAAAAATTTACTAAGCTCTACATTCTCACAATTTACTCTATTTTGAAGTGAGTTGCTTACAAAATCCGACGTGTAAGAAAACACTCGTAACAGAGCTCCTGGAGCATTACAAATTATTTTTAACATATATGAAAAGGATCCCGGAAGGTCAACACTTCACAAAGCACTTTGTTTCGGGGACAAATTTACGTGACCCCTCAGTCCTAATTGCTCTATCATGAATCAAACTACTTAACATCCAAACAGAAACAGAAGTTTTGACTGCGAATGTTCGCAAGCAAATCAAAGTGTTCCTGCAAAGCAGGGTTAAGACAAAACCGTTGCAACACCGCATAACATCTTCTAACCCGCGAATGTTTCGAGCACAAAACGCGACATATGAAAGAAAAACCAATATTCGGCATTGCGAGACGTCGCAGACGCCTGAAGAACAGTTTTTCGACAAAAATACCTTTCTTGATAAAATTATTTTCTTGGAAGACCCAACAGTGTATCCGAGACTATAAAACATAATAAAAATCTTAATATACGTATCCTTACGTGAAGTTCCAAGAAACGGTAACATATATGACCTAAGTTTGTTGCTTATCACAACAAACTCACAGCAGTCCTAAACAAACTTAAGTTATCTCGCAGAGATAGCTCTCATACACCCGACACAAGGGTAATAGCGCTATAAAGAAATCCAAACTTTCGTCAGCACCTTCGGGGATGCTCGATTCCGACCAGACAAGTCGTATAAGCTGAGAACCTATCGTGGATTTTAAATCGGTACGGAATCATGTTAAAATCGCAACAGGCAAAACGAACGCATCACAAAGCCTTAAAACTGAAAGTAAACCTAGGTCTTACCCTAAATCCAGCACACTGGTCTTTAACGTCTCAAGGCATGAAATGAGATCCTAAAGGCATGTCTCTTCATCCATATCTAAACGCTCATGAGATTCTACACATCGTAAAACGAGCAAATCGAATAGGGCGATCTACAAAAAAGAGTTAGACTATAAGATGACAACTCATATTCTTCCCTCCGCATTCATACGAATACAATCTTTCTCTTAAAACGCAAAACACAATTTATTAAAAAAACGACCGCAGAGCGGCACAGACTCGAAGCTGCTTACAGCCAGTCTGAAAATCTAATGGCCACACTCGGTCGGCTGATACAAAATACCATCAGCATTGTCATGTTCGATAATCTCTATGCATAAATAGACTGTAAAGGTCTCCTCGGAAAACAGGTCATACAAACCTTAACTCTAAGACGAACTACGAAAGCCTTGATCCATCCAAGAGGGTACATATGTAGCCTTCACTAGGCGCAGCCCCAATCCTACCGCTTTCCATTCCAATAAGAGTGGGAGGACCACTCTCAATGGAAATTTTAAACCATATATTCCGCTTAACTTGCCTAAAATTTTCTAACCACTCGCTGAAACCTCACGCTAGAAGCTCATAGTTCTAACGAGCTGGGGGGGGGTAACTGTTGGGGTCAAAATCGCCCACGACGGAATCAATGGCTAAAAGTTCCGGAAAAGCAGACAAGAAACTATAGAATCTCTACAAAGATACGAAATTACGAAAACTCGTATCAGTATAAAATCGTAAAAAACATCTTTTTGTGGTCAAAATCGGTTATGACAGAATCAACGACCAAAACTTTCCACAAAGTTAAGAATAGGTTTTAGAAATACAAAAAAGTGTCGAGAAGAAATCTAAGGATTTTCCGAACAAAGCAATTCCATAAACTTAATAATCATCATCTTGGAAATCATCGGAAAATCGAATAAAAAAATTATCGATTGTCCAAATTGGCCAAATTAGCAAAACACAGCCGTAACGTCCAAACTCCCCGAAACTGTAAAAGCTGTTGTTGAGGTTGAAAACGATAACCTTGAGATCAACGTCTGTGATTATTTCTCCTTATATTCTCCAAGAGGATCATGGGTCGAGAAAAACAAAAAAACGATCGAAACCAAACAACCGACCAGTTCGCCTATTGGCGAGCTAAACCAACCAGTCCAGCTCTCCAACAGGCAAGCTGGGCATGCTCAACCAGCTCACTTGTTGGAGAGCTGAATCAACCAGTCCAGCTTGCCAACAGGTGAGCTGGCCATGCTCAACCAGCTCGCCTGTTGGCGAGCTGAACCAACCTGTCCAGCTCGCCAACAGGCGAGCTCACCATGCTCGACCAGCTCGCCTGTTGGCGAGCTGAACCAACCAGTCAAGCTTGCCTGTTGGTGAGATGAACCAAACCATCCATATCCCTTGACTCGGTCATACTCTGAACCATGATCGGAACATCTCTTGTTTCGTCTCGATCCGTCTTACCGTTTGATTTTTATGATAAAAAATTGTAAAAGGCTTGTTTTCTAGTAAAACGTCGAGTAAATCGTATAAAATGGCAACGATTAAACATAACAACGAACATTGCCAAACCATATGATTAACTCGAGATATTTTATGAAAAACCGCTAAAGACTTGTTTTCTCATAAAATTTCAGTAAATCGTATAAAACGGCAATGGCTAAACAAAACACCGAACATTTCCAAAATATACGATTAACTCGAGATGTTTTATAAGAACGGCATTGTATCAGGAAATGATCTCATCTAGAGTCGTAAAACGGATAATCGCAAAACGGCTCGAAAAGTCCTAATATGCGATAAAGGCCCACTCACGACTTTATACAAGATCCAGCCCAAAGATTTGATGACGGTTTACTCATTATTCGCAGGAATGGGTAAATGTCAAGTTTGAAGACGAAAATAGAAGTTTTCCAAAGAAAAATAAAAATATCGAGATAAATGGAAGATTTTCGACGAATCGGAGCGGAAAAGGAAAGTCCAACCGCCTAGAGAAGGAGTATATAAGCAGAAGGTCGAGGACAAAAGCAAGGGATGGTTTTCAGAGCTCTCATCTCAGAACTCATATAACTTTTCTAGATTTATAACTCTCTGCATTTAGAAACTTAGGCTTTATTCTTGACAAGTTCGGTTTCTATGACTGGCGCTCAACTACTATACGAACTCGCCCAGACAGTTCGATCTCTTGTCCATCTCTATCAATTGAACTACGTTAACTTACACTAAGCTAATGAACAGAGAAGTAGAGGATCCTTAACTTACCAAACCTCGCCGGTATGCCCATGCTCCCTAAAATTAGAGAGCTCATCAGAGTAAGCAGCGTCCCAATAGCTTTGGAGACCAAGCATTGACTGTCCTCCATCTGCATCTGGCTCCTCCTTATCAGAACTGAAACACTCAACAGATTCAGTAAACCCTCAGATCTGGAAAAATCATTTAAAATCTCCAATAACAAAATCCCTAATTCTTATTATACCTAGCTTTTCTGCGATTTCCGAAAAGTATACCTGTAATCTGAAGAGACGTGGAAGTTGGCGGAAGAGAGACCCTCGGCTGCGTCGGCGTGGAGCTGATCGTCGTCGAGAGTGCTTCTGTACTCGCTCTTGATTGACCATGAATCTGCTGCAATAGATCGATCGTCGTCAGAAGCCAAACTGTCGGTTGTTGTTGCTCTAGCCTGTTGCTGAGGAGAAAGACAATTACAACTTTAACTTACGAATCTCCTGTTAATGAATCAAAAAAAAAAAAAAACTATTTTATTATATAAAACCAGGAAAAAAATAACGTAGAATATCTAAACTATTAAAGGAAAAGTACAAATAGAAAATAATCCTAACTTTTCCTAAAAAATTACAATTTCATGCCATTGCATTTAAATTTTAATTGAAAATAAAAGAAATTATTATTACTTACCAAAATAGTAGGATCTATATCCACCTTAAATCAAAATATATATGATCTCTTAATGCGTGCATCACATTACGGCCAAACATACAAAACTAATCAACCTTCATATATATTAAAATATACCGCAGTATAAAGGATTCTTTACTAACTGACTTTCGGTAATTTTAAAATATAGAAACATTAAGAAAATATTGTTCTTTACCTAACAATTTATTTTGAGCAATTCTTTTCAATACATAGTTTTAAATTAACAATAATTGTTAGTATAATGTAACAAATATACTATAATATGAAGAATCATTATTATGTTTAAATATAAACTATAAACTCTAAAATCATAACTCTAAACATAAAGTCTAAACCCTAAAACATATTTCCAAATCACCTGCTGATAATAATAGATAGTTCTAAATTTTATAATATTTTAGACAACTACTCAGAATAAAATTTTAAAATAACAATATATGTAGCTTCAATATTTTTTTTTCACCTAATACCTTAAACAAAATATGTGAAGTTCCAAAAAAAATAACTCAGACTTTTCCTCAATAATTACATATCCATGCCACTCAAATTAAACTCAGTCGTTTTATACATCTCATATAAACGTCCGCTTATTAACAATGTGTTATTGTCTTCACCTAGCCCAATAATTCATGGGTTTTGTTTCAAATTAAAATAAAATAGAATGGGCTTATATTATATGGAACACGTAAACCTTTTGGATCATTGGCTCTTAATACTATCTCTATCATCTCTTCATTCACTCTGAAAAAGACCAAAAAATCATACATAAAGGAAATGAATTGTTTATTAAAACATCAAGTTCGTTATAAACTTACCAAAAAGAGTTTGATTTGATTTCATCCCACACTATAACACGGATTGAGCTTACTCTAACTTTGTTCTAATTTAAAGGCTTCCACTTTGGTTTCAACAAATCTGGATCAGAAGGAGGCGAGAGCGATGTCACGGTCGGAATCTAACATAATTGCGGCGGAGGAGATGGAGGCGATGATCGTAGCTGTTCTTCTTATTTGCAGAACATTTTTGATCAAACGTTAAGCAAACCTTTATTAGAGAAATTCACAGTACAATCAATGGATTATCTGCAGTAGTATGAGGGTTTTATAAATCAAAGAACATTTTCTCTCAGATTTTTAGAAACAACTGACCATGCAAATGGTTAGCACCGAGATGTGATAAGGTTGAACATTCTTGGTGGATGTGAAAAGTAGATAGAAGGCAACTGAGTTTCTGTTTCCCGCAAACAAATTGGGCATTGATTCATGTTTTCAGTCCACTACGATCCCTATTAAAAATTGACCCACGTACCAAATTTCTAATTATAACGAAATGGGCCAGTTTATTTGGGTTAAATTAGTTTTGGTGTATAAAATATCAAAAATCTTTACCATTTTATGTTGGGAAAATTGCCAAATATGACTCAAAACTTGATTTGAAATGCAAAAGTAAACCCAAACTTGAATCAAATGCAAAAGTAACTTAAAAGGCTATTGAAATTACAACCAACCCCTTGTGAACAAACAAAAAAAAGGTATTTTTTTTAACGTTTCTACCCCTCGTAAGTCGTCTGTCCAGACGACTTAACTTAAAGTCGTCCAGACGACCTAACTTAAAGTCGTCCAGACGACTTAACTTAAAGTCGTCCAGACGACTTAACTTAAAGTCGTCTGGGACAGTTTTTCTTAAAAATAATTTAAAAATTCTGTAATAAATATCTTGATAAATGAAAAATTTGGATTATGTAATTAACATATGTCTTAAGAGATATAAATTAAGATATAACAAAAGTCAGTTGTTTTCAGCATAGATGAGTGAAAGTAGTGAGTCATGATATTCTTTAGTTTAGGTTTCACCAATATATGTTGTAGTATTGTATGTGTTTCTTAGGGTTAGATTTTCGAAAGCATAAATGTTTTTTTGAAAAATTAAAAATTTACCTAATTGTGTTTATTCTGTGTATAGTAAACACTATTTAAGTATAATTTGATTTGATAACGTGGTTAATTAGTTGATTTAGTCAATTTAGTTTAGGGTTTAGGGTTTAGGGTCTGGACAACTGAAATATCAGTCGTCTGGTAAATAATTTTACACAGACGACTTACAAGTAAGTCGTACTAATATTCCCGCCTAAAATTTTTAAAAATTTTATTTTCCCGCTTGAATAATTTAAACCAGACTACTTACTTGTAAGTCTTCTGGATGACTTACTTGTAAGTCTTCTGGACGACTTAGTTATAAGTCTTCTGGACGACTTATTTCTAAGTCTTCTGGACGACTTACTTGTAAGTCTTCTGGACGACTTACTTGTAAGTCTTCTGGACGACTTACTTGTAAGTCTTCTGGACGACTTACTTGCAAGTCTTCTGGACGATTTACTTGCAAGTCTTCTGGACGACTTACTTCTAAGTCTTCTGGACGACTTATTTGTAAGTCTTCTCAAAAGTCTTCTATTTTAGTTTCCCGCTAAAAATATTTTAGTTTCCCGCTAAAATTATTAAAGTCTCCTGGACAACTTACATTTCAGTCATCTGAAACAAAAATATTTAACCTAATTTTTTTTGTTTCCCTATATAAAGAAAAATTTACACATTCTCTCTCCTCCTCTCAAATGTCTGCAACAAAAAATGTAATGTTCATCTTTCTAGAACTCTCCAATCTCTCTATAATCTCTTTGAACTTATAAACACCAAAACTTTTTATCAATTTATTGTTTTTATCTCATGTATTTCTCATTAACTTATCTTGTTTTGTAGGTTTTTCATCAAATGATTCTCATATTCCACTCATTTAAAGATGGGTCTATTAACTTTATATGAATTTTTCAGTTATGTCTCATGTTTTTCTCACTAATCTATCTTTTTTTTGTTTTGCAGGTTTTTAATCAGATGGTTCTCATCTTCATTTGGATGTATGTTATGTTTTCTAAAAAAATATATATATATCTAATCTTTCACTCATTTTCTGTGTGTTTTAAGCCATTTGAATGTTTTTTGATATGCAGATTTTTCAGATCTGGGTTTGAAATGCAGGTTTTTCAGATCTGGAAGTTTTCTGGACGACTTAGTTATAAGTCTTCTGGACGACTTACTTGTAAGTCTTCTGGACGACTTACGTGTAAGTCTTCTGGACGACTTACTTCTAAGTCTTCTGGACGACTTACTTGTAAGTCTTCTGGACGACTTACTTCTAAGTCTTCTGGACGACTTACTTGTAAGTCTTCTGGACGACTTACTTCTAAGTCTTCTGGACGACTTACGTGTAAGTCTTCTGGACGACTTACTTGTAATTCTTCTGGACGACTTACTTGTAAGTCTTCTGGACGACTTACTTGTAAGTCTTCTGGACGACTTACTTGTAAGTCTTCTGGACGACTTACTTGTAAGTCTTCTGGAAAGACTTCTGGGACGACTTACTTGTCTGGACTTTTTGAAAGTTTTCTGTCGCTGTCTTCTTTCATATCAAGTGGAGTCCAATCTTGTCTTTGTAAAGGAATGATCTATTATAGTTTTGTAAAATCAATCCCAAGATGTAATATATGTGCTAACAATGTGTTTACACATGTACAAATCAATGAAATAATAGACTTCAGTAGCTTTTTTCATATTTTGGATCTCCCATATGCAATAATAAATCACAATGGCCTTCTGCTCATCTTAATAAACAAGAATGTTTGTAGCCTCGTATTGATACAACAATTTAAGAAGCATTTTAACCTTTCTTCCAACAAATCATCATTGGTGTTAAAGCATATTACATGTTTTACAAGGTTGTGTTGAAAAACTTAGTCAAATTTAGTAAAATTAAGGGAGAAAAAATATTTTGAAAATATGAGATTTACATATCATGAAGTTATTTAACACTTGTAAAAATACAAGTAATTCAAAAAATATTTTTACCACTTTATTCAACCAAGAAAATTTAGTAAAATTCACAGAAGATCAAACATTACGGGATTTGATCAAATATTTTTATCATTCTATTCAACCAAGAAAACTTAGTAAAATTCAAAGAAGATCAAACATCCAGCTATAAGACTTTCCAGATGACTTAATTATTAGTCATCTGGGAAGACTAACACAAATTCTTAATACATACTCATAAAGTCTGGACGACTTAGTAGAAGACTTATAATTAAGTCTTCTGGAAAGTCATCTAGCTGGAAGAATTTCCGGATGACTTAATTATTAGTCATCTAAGAAGACTAACACAAATTCTTAATACATACTCATAAAGCCTGGACGACTTAGTAGAAGACTATTAATTAAGTCGTCTGGAAAGTCATCCAGCTGGAAGACTTAACTGTAAGTCTTCCAGACAGGTCATTTTTGCAATTGAAATTTAAATGAGACGACTTACTTCTAAGTCGTCTTGCTTTATATGTTAAAAAAAAAATCTGGACGACTTATAAATAAGTCGTCTAGGAAAAACAGGCTAATTTTGCATTTGACCGAATTGTGTCAGATATTTGACTTTTCTTGGACGACTTACAAGTAAGTCGTCTCCGGGAAAGTTAAAATTTCAATATTTTATTAAATCTAGATGACTTACGGATAAGTCGTCTTAGGTTAGTTTTGTAATTGAAAAATAAAACTTTAATTTTAACTTTTCCCAGAAGACTTAATTTAAAGTCGTCCACTCAGACGACTTATTCTAAAGTCGTCCGAGATAAGCAAAGTTTGACCGGAAAAAAATCTAGACGACTTTACTTATCTCAGACGACTTTAGAATAAGTCGTCTGACTGGACGACTTTAAATTAAGTCGTCTGACTGGACGACTTTAAATTAAGTCTTCTGGAAAAAAATTAATATTAAAGTTTTTTTTTTCAATTACAAAACTAACCTAAGACGACTTATCTGTAAGTCGTCTAGATTTAATAAAATATTGAAATTTTAACTTTCCCGGAGACGACTTACTGGTAAGTCGTCCAGGAAAAGTCAAATATCTGACATAATTCGGTCAAATACAAAATTAGCCCGTTTTTCCTAGACAACTTATTTATAAGTCGTCCAGTTTTTTTTTTTTAACATACAAAGCTGGAAGACTTAGAAGTAAGTCGTCCAGCTGGACGACTTAGAAGTAAGTCGTCCAGCTCATCCAGAAGACTTACAAGTAAGTCTTCTACGCGAACAGATCTGGAAAAAATTTCAATTTCATACCTTAAACTAAGTGAGATGACTTTCTTAGCACACAAAGTCTTCTCCAACCACCCAGAATATCAAATGAAAGTAACCCACCAAGAATTGTATGCTTAAATGGCTCTATCATCCATAAAAAATTTTGAATCAAAAGCTTGTTTTTTTTGTATGAATATGGAGACAAAGTGAAAGAGATGTTGTTTTTAGTTCATAACAATTGAGAAAGAGAGAGTGTAAATCGATTTTCGGTGCATTAAGAGCTTCAAATTGGTTGTTCATGGTAGTTAGGGTATTGATGGCAATGTCAATCTTGTAAATACTTGAAGATGATGAGGTTGAGAGAGTAAAAAAATAATTTTAAAAAAAAAGAAAAGAAAAAAGTGTAATGGCATTTTCGTAAATAATGTGAACAGATGGGGTGAATAAAACAAACGAAAAATCAAAAAACAAGAAAGGTTAATTTTGTGTTTGACTTTGAGTTTTGAGTCAATCACTATTTTTATTGTTTCTCTCTGAATATACAATCACTATTTTTAATGTTTCTCTCTGAATTATGTATTTTTTTTAAAACATAAATATATATTTATTAAGCATATCAGTAAAAATTATCAATATAAAAATACCAAACAAGTATACTGTAGATGAATTTAATATTATAACTTTAGTAAAAGGATGACTACAATCTAAGGATGTTCAATTCAGTATAATTTCTCCAATTAAAATGAACAAATTAAAACCAAACCGAACCAAAATAGTGAAATTTGTTTGGATTTGGTAGTACCGAATTAATTGGATGAATGTTAATTTTAAGAAACCATGGTATATGGATATGGTTCGGTATATAAACCGATCAAATCGAATAAACCGGAAAAAACAGTTAATTAAAATATGTAAGATACTTATATGCAAATTTTTAATAAATAAAATATATACAAGATTATGTATTAAGATGTAATTCATATTTATAGCTGATTTTATTAATTTTTTAATTTATTTAAAGTTAGAAAATTATCCTTTTTATCAATTTAAATAAAACACATTATTAGTAAATAGTTGTATTAAAATATAGTTATTTAATAATATTATGACATTAATATTTTTCTTATTCTTATTTTTAACA